TACGGTGGGCAACCAATTCATTTAATGTATTATTTTGTTAAATATCACAATTTTGTTTATAAAATCTTTATTTAGATTCCTTGCAGTTTCTCCTATGTATTTTTGTGACAAATATTACAGGCAGTGGAATAAACTCCTCCTTCAGTTTTTAGCTTATTGTTTTGGTTAGAATTGACCAAGTCTTTTATTGTTTTAGGTGCAGTAATAAAGACATTTAGATGTGAAAGATGTGATAAAATCAGTAGTAAGGATAATATATATTTTTGATTCATTGGGTTTCTCAGGATGGGCCATTTTTGTTTTGGAATATTTTCCGAGCCTTTTGTATAGAACTGAATATAAAATAATTATGGCACTGTTGAAAGTCTTTTCAATGTATTTCTTTTCTCCGTGTAAATAATTCGAGTTTCATTTTCATAGAACTCTTAGGTAGAATCCGATGATTATGCCGGAATTTATTTTGTTGTTATGATGTGAATAGAAATTTATTAGGTCGTTTTTGTCGGTTGATTTTCAGTGAACACTGAGTTCTAAACTATTGTCAATGCAGTGTAGCTTGATACCTAGCAAGGGCAAGGAAACGTATTCTTCCATTTTGAATGTAAATTCCTTTGTATATTCGACTTTGTTTAGTTGATCTACTACCTAGATGAATTCGGCTGAAAAAAATAAATCTAAAATTCCTAGCACTACTCGGCCATGCGCACGTGTAGTCATATGTACGATGAAATCCTGAAAGACGAAACGCATCACAAGGAAACTTTTCCCCGCTTTCCCATATATATATATATATATATATATATATATATATATAGAGAGAGAGAGAGAGAGAGGAGGTACAGTGAAGTAATGGCGAGCGGCTTGGATTGAGAAACCGGAGAATCCAGTTGATACCATTACATTCACTTACGTGCTAATAGCCTTTGAAAAGGTGTGAATTCTCTTCTTCTCCATCCAGCTATGGGTGAATTGCACAGACTAGGTTCTACAGCCTTGGATTGCAACTGGTCTAAGAGAAGGACAACTCTGAATTCAAAACCTGCGGAGAGTCGTTTGGGGTCCTTGTGGCACGTCGTGCAGCAGGTCTCGGTAATCTGTCCTTCAAAAGGTGTGTATGTTTCTGCACAAGACCTTCACCACTATAATCAAATCTCATGGTGGTGTCGAGCTGTCGGTTACTAGGAAGTGATCTGCTTGTCCTTCATATGTCGAATTCCATGACAAACTCGAGTGTATATATATATATATATATATATATATATATATATATATATATATATATATATATATATATATATATATGGCACCCTGCATTATTAGAAAAACTAAAAAGAAATATTCCTAGAAATATGATTTAATTTTTATTCGGTTTATTAACCAGTTGCTAGTTATTTAGACGAAGAATAATTGAGTTTTGAGAATAATTCTCTAATTGTATTTAGGCGACCCTAAGGGAAGAAGAAGGGAAAAAGAAAGAGGAAAAGAAAGGAAAAGAGAGGGAGAGATGGGTAATGCAAAAGCCGGTCATAAGCGAAAACAGGTGTCAAGAGATATCTAGGCCAACGCGCCTGACCGAATTTCAAGAACAATGGAAATTGTTATTTGAAAGAGTAAGTTTAGAGATAATGAACGGACATGGTAAAAGTGGATGAACATACGTACGATTGATAAAAATATCGGTCAAAACATCTGGCCTACTTTTGTGTCCACGGAATGTAGAAGCTCATTATCAATTTGGAGAAATGGGATTTTTTAGAACAATGGAAGAAGTGTCATTGGGATGAGAATTGGGATTGTATACAGATCTTGACCAGCTGAAGATAAGAACCCCACGATGATAAAGTGAAGATATTTCAATTCAGATAATTGAGATTTTGACTATCAGGCATGGGCGAAAATAAAAACATGAAAACAATTGTTTTGGCTCACAGAAAGCGCCAGCGAGACGAGAAAAATTCTTCCTGAAGTCACATCTAATTAGCGGCGGGCTGTTTTGACAAAAACCAAAAGGTGAGAAAGGCCGAGATTTTCATTTTTCGTGCGTGCGAAAAAGGCCAAATTGGATTTTGTCTTTTTTAGCAAGGTGGTTCTTTCCCAGAACAAAGCCGGGATAGACCACGCCCGATTGAAGACGTCACGAAGGACGGGAGACGCCCAACCAGAATCTCATTAGCCGAAAGCGGTCACGTGATATGCGAGAAAGAGGAGAAAGGACGCTCGACCAAGACCCATTGGTCGAAAACGGTCACCTGACATACGAGAGACCGGGAGAGATGGGTATGCGCATCCCCCCCAGAGGCACTGTGAGGAAGTAGGGGTGAAAATAAGAGCGATAATGGGAAATCAGAAATAATGCGACTTTTGGAATTATCAAGAAAACCCTGACGCCGACAGACCCACCCCAGTTTGTTGCGGCGTCAATAAAAAGCAGGAACCCAATCGACAGAAATCAGAGAGTTGCGGGGTAGACGGCCAGAGAGCAGTTGGAGAGCGGACGGCGGGCCCTGCTCATTCGCCCCTTTGTGGGTAAGAAGGGCCGGTCCGTTTGGCCCGGACAGGCAGAGAAGTTGCAGCCAAGTCGAAGAGAAGAAAATTGCTCGAAAGCCGCAGAGAAGTTGGAGCAGAATTGCAGGCCAGACAGGCCGAAGAATTGCAGGCCAGATAGGCAGAAGAGCTGTAGGCCAGATAGGCAGAAGAGCTGCAGGCCAGACAAGCAGAAGAATTGCAGGCCAGACAGGCAGTAAAGTTGCAGGCCAAACAAGCAGAACAGTTCAGCCCCGGAAGGCAGAGAGAAGAGATCACCTCAGACGGCAGAGAAGAGTTGCAGGACGGAAGAAGAAGAAGTTACTTGCAGTTGCGTCTAGAAGAAGTTGAAACCAGGCCAAGCCTGAGGGTGGAAATTCGTCCAACCCAAATCGAAGTGAAGAAATACGTCCAACTCAAGCCGAAGCGAATAAGCACGTCCAACTCAAGCCGAAGAGAAGAATCAGCCGTGAACGACTGGTAGAGATTAGCGCCCAGTGTCGAAACCAAACCACACTCCGACATACAGAATTCTAGAGAGTAGGCAACTCGAAGTCTTTAAATTGTATGATAGAAGCTTGGTGCCACAGTCCACAAAACGGGTCGGGAAGTAAGAATAATTTTTATGTAACGAACATTAGATATAAAAGGTTGTTACCCTTTCTTATCAGTAATTTTTTTCCTCGTGAGTTTTTTTTTTCTTTTGCTTGTGTGTTGCCACCCCCGTTGAACCCAGCTGGCATACGGCCCGACTCCTGTTTGATCCCGTCTGTCTAAGATTTAATCACAACGTGGGTAGGCAGACCGGAGATCAGTACAGTTACCCTAGTAACCAGGTGTTGGAAGCGAGTTGGGAACGGCGAGGCTGGTAATCATCTAACCAGAGGGTTGGAACGTCACACTTGGAGCAGCGAGGAGCGAACAACTGACGCCGCGGCAAAAAACGTCACAACTGGTGCTGTCCGTGACAAGGATCGACCCTTGGGCGGCCACATCACGTCGCGTCACAGTTGGAGCCGCGAACGAGATCGAACGACAGAGTCGACGCTGCGACCAAGGAGGGGCGACGTCACATATATATATATATACATACGGAGAAACACTAATTTTCTTGTTCTGCGCGACTGAAATTTTCATGTGGACGTAAAGGTGATTAATGTTAATGTCGTCTATTGGTCAGGCGGTAAAATGAAGCAATATAGACATCTTTAAAAGAAGCAATATATTTCTAAATTTTTAGTGAGTATTATATTGTCCGTTTTACCGATTGTACGACAGTAACATTAAACATCTTTACGTTCACATAGAATTTTCTTTTGCGACCTACAGTAAAACATAAGAAAAAACTTCCCTATTTACAAAATATAAGGATCTTGAAATAGAAAATTGCATAAATGTGGTATTTGCGTGCAACTGTTCCTATTATAATAGGAACGCTACGAACCATTTAAAAGAACACATATTATTATCAGAATATAAGAATATTCCAAGAAATCAATCGTTATACGAAATGCAAAAATTGTTCTCATGAGCACTACCCAGAAGAACGGTCTCAATGTCATATGTTCAATAAATTTCTAATGTCCATACACACACATTATAATCATCCCTTGACTTTTGAGTATATATATATATATATATATATATATATATATATATATATATATATATATATATATACACACACACACACACACACATATATATATATATATATATATATATATATATATATATAGTGGTGTAACAGAAAATTGTACAATTCTGTTAGTCTAAGCTTTGAACTATTGTATCATAGAAATGATTAAAAATATCCTATTGAAATTCTCCGAGATTTTTATAGCAATAATAGTCTCTAGTTTGAACAATAAGAATGGATTTAGCTCTAAGTTGAAATGATGATCCCACTTCCTGTTGTGACCTCCTGATCCAGTTTTCCCCCTCTACTGTTCCCAATTTTTTTTTAAAAAACTTATTCACGGTTATGTTAATGGTTGTTGAATGGACTTTGAAAATGGAAACAATGTTATTAATGTTCGTACCATTACTGAAAGCCTGCATGAACGTTTCCTGTCACCATTGCTCAGTTGGGAAGATACCGTGGGGCTGACACAAAACGATTTTAACCCGTTTTCTTTTTAGCTGAATAACTCAAAAGGTTTTTCAATGATTCTGACCATAAATGGTGTCAAGATGGCGAAATATCATATCTGAAAATCTTGAAAAAATAAACTTAGTTTACCGTTTTATTTTAATTTTTTTTAAGATATTATACATTTTGCGGGAGGGACAATTATTCAATGCTGTTAGCCGATTTGGACAATTTCGCTGTTACACACACACACACACACACACACACACACATATATATATATGAGAGAGAGAGAGATAGATAGATAGATAGATAGATAGAGAGAGAGAGAGAGAGAGAGAGAGAGAGAGAGAGATATTGATTGTACCAAACAGAAAATGAAAATCTAGGAATAATATCAATAATAATTTATCCATCATGTTCGCTGATGCTTTCCTCGGATTTTACATACTACAATTATTTCTGATTTTGAATTCAGTATATACTTATGATTTCGCAGAGATACTCATGATTACAGACTGCAGAGAAGAGAGAATTATCGATAATTATCTTTTCAGAATTCTTTCAATGTGATAAAAAAAACTAAAAGAAATAAATAAAGAAAAAAAGCGCCTGGAACTTTTTCCGTTCGGCTTTCGCCAAGAAAAACTGTATCTGTAGTGTTTGTTCAGCCATAGGACGTGGTTAATCTCCTCCAACGGACATCTTTAAGACGCCAAAACTAATTTATCTAAACTACTGGTCACGTTCAAAGCCAAGGTTTGAACAGTCTAATCTAATATGAAGCATTATATTGTCCTGCCTTTCCTTTTCTCTCACTCTCCGTTTTTACTCTATCTGTCTATCTCTTTCATTTTTTTCTTTCTCTCTGTATCTATCCATCTCTTTCCCTTTCTCTCTCTCCCTTTCTCTCGCTCTTTCTCTCATTACGAGTTTTAAACAAAGTTCTCGTCCAATATTGCTTTCCGCTTAGATATCTTCATTCACTCGGATTCTACTAATTTGACCAATTCCCTTTGTCGTTGTTTCCTACGATGTTCAATACTCAACTCGAGTGTCTCATTATTTCTGTGGTATCGATGCGTAACGACTTGGAGAGACGATCATTACCAATGAGCGCTTATAACGGACTAGCAGATGATATGATGCTGAATATAAACAAGAATCATGGAGTCACTATGCGCCGCTTGGGAATAATATCAAAGAAGCACATTTGAGTTTTCTCTTCATTTTCTTTCCTGAAACTTCGTTAATTATTGACGTTTACTTACTGTTCAAGTTCGATTAACTGGACAATATAATTTTGTCGTTCATATCTACGTGATTATGCTTGAAATAGTGGCCGAGTAGTTAGAACGTTTGCATTCTGTCAATGAGATCCGCGTTCGAATCTAACCCTGGTCGATTTGTCGGGAAAGAGACTTCCTGACGTTATTGGACTGTAGCGGTCGATCCAAACATGCGGCACCTTTGGAAAGTGCTTAAAAACAATTCCTCGGTTTAACCTAAGGCTTGTGTGTGAAATTAGGTAGACGAAGTCACAAGTCATCGTGGCCGAGGCTTGAGCATGCTGGCCTTGTTCAAATTGTTAATCATGCTAGATAACACACTCTTTACCAGAGTTGTAGTTAAAACACTGGCAGGGTCTGAATAACTATATATATATATATATATGTATATATTATTTACTTGCACTTTCCTAGTTTAACTGTCAGATTTGGATTTGTTCTTTACAGTTTATCAATGTTTTCCCGGTTATTCAAAGCCAGAAAATATTTTTAGAATGTAAGAACTTTCTGGGAAATGAAAATATCTTATATCTATAATTCTCAAAATCTTTGTGTGCATGTGTCTGTAATCGGATGTTGTTTATGCGCTGCCACAGTTTTCATACGATTTCGATGAAATTTTCTTTGTTTGATAGATAATTCTTGAGTGCCGGTTTTAAGTAGAAAAAAATTGCAACCCTAAAGGGGAAAACTCGAAAAAAATGATTTTTTTACACTTTGCATAAAATTCAAAGGCAAAATTTAATATCTGTAAGAAATAGTATGCAATCAATTTAGAGAGTTGAAATCTAACGCAAACGATTAGAATTGTAAATAAAATAATTATATTATAAATAAAAATTATCGCATATTATTAGTATGATGGTCCATGAAACAGGTTCTTTCCTTGCAAGATTGAGAACGCAAAAACGACCTTTTTCAGGCCTCCCATTCAAATTGTTAACACTCCATCTGGGGATGTGCATCAGTTGCACCTCATTGTTGTTACTTATATTGATTTTCGGGTGGGTTGTCTTTAAACTTAACTGCTCCAACTGAACGGCAAAAAATCGCAGTAATAAAACACCCGGTCTTAGACAGATTATGCTGCTAGCACTTATATAAGTTTTACTAGTTTACCCATAGCAGAAAGGAAAAAAAGATGAATTCACTCCTTCTCAATGGTTTTTGCGCGTAAGATAAATATAACGAAATCGACTGGAATCTAAACTCGATTCACCGATTTCCAATTCCGTTTACAAATTTTCAGCATCTGGTATTCCCAAAGGGGCCACTCATCTAGGTATTGATCAGGGTCATCGCTGCTTAACTTCGTTGTTATACAGGAATGAAATATCGCTGCCGACATTGGAGCTTGAACATAGATCGCCAATGAGCAAACACAGGCGATCCCATTATTGAATTAATTAGACCAGGTTACCATAGAAGTAACGCATATATGGAAGGTAGCGTGTGTCTAATTAATTGTTATTTCTATTCTATCTTCTATTACTATTCAGATCACTATGTCTACTCTATCCTCTGTTACTATGTGCTTTACAGTCCTCTTCTCTATAATATTCTCTATATCGATCACAACACGGATTACTATTCGGTGGTTACTATACGAGTGGGTATTATAGAGCAAGTACTATTAGTGCGACTGATACTCGAAGGCGTCTTACAGCAGTTTTTTCAACGGTGTTACTATAGTTGTATCTCCGATTATAAAGTCTCTACTACAGCAAACATTGCGAAAGTGACGACGAGTATTCGTTGACATTACAAAACTGTCAAACGAGTGTTCGTCGACATCACAAAATTCGTGAACTGGATCTTCAACGTGGAATGGCCGTAAAACTTTTAACTATTTATACTCTTTGTATTCGGACTATTCCCCTAATCTTTGTTGTTGCTATCTCAACGTTTCGGTCGTTGTGTCTTCCGGTCTTCCTCAAGGGCATATCGTTTTGCGTAACATATAGTGGCCTAAGAAAAGATTTTAACCAGGAAAAATTAACTACATCCAATTTCCAAATTTAATTACGTAATCCATGCTCAATATAAATAAGAAGTATTTTGAACTAGTATAGAGTAGGTCCCCCATTTGCTAGTTTCAGTGCTTGTATTCGATATTTCATGGATTTGATCAAGGTATCAAAAATCGTCTGATTCATATTTTGCCTCTCCATTTCAATGTTTCTTTAAAAGGTTGCCACTGATGTGATTTTGGTATCAAGCTCTCGAAGTCTTCGGACAAGCTGCTTCCAAACGGGCTCTATTGGATTTATGTCAGGATTTTGGTCTACCCATGGCAATGACTTGATTCCTTGAGATTCCTTCTAGGCCTTTACTACTTTGCTTGTATGATATTGTGCTCCATCTTCTTGAAAAAGGTAGACATTCTTGTCAATCTGATTCGTTTCAAATAGTGGGAATAGTCCTTTCACAAATATTTGACAGTATTTTGGACCATTCAACTGCTCGTCTACAAGAATCAGCTCAGATTTCCCTCTAAACCAGACAGTGCAACACACCATTACTCCAATCCTTCCATGTTTCACGGACGCATGCAGACATTGAATGTTTCAAGTCTCATTCTGATTTCTCGAAACATAAAGCTGTCTCAAATTCGAATATTAGCAGAATTTACTTTCATCTAACCAAATTACAGACTGCCAGAATTCATAATCATTGCTCTCGAATTCTCTCTCCCATACGAAGGTTCCTCTGAAATCAAGGACTTCTTCCTGGCAACTATTCTTTGATAGCCTAGCTCTTTCAGAGTCTTTCTCACCGCATATGGCGACATTTCTATACTGTTAGCGACAACTTTGACGTCGGTTTCTGATGACTTCCCTATTCAGTGCCGTTTTCGTTCGCTCAGACACGATGCTTGGTCGTCCTGAATGTTGTTCCACACGACAATGGCTTTCTGCATTAAATTTCTTGACAATATTATTAATCGTTTGATGATTAACCTGGAAAAACCGAGCAATTTCTCTATTTGACTTGCCACACTGATGCCATCCTATTATTTGCCTTTGTTGAAATTCACTAATTGTCTTACTTCCACGAACTTTCATTGGAAGATAGAAGTCTACTATTGTTCATAGATGAGAATAGCCTGATACTAACACGGTATTGTCTGAAAAAAAGAAACGTTATTAAGCAAGCCAAAATTGTTGTAATCAAAGGTGGCTAAAATCTTTTCATAGCCCACTGTATAGAGAATTCTGAATAGAACCCTTTATTTAATCTACGCGTGTAGACATTTTACGTTCCACTGTCTATACCTGTACGACATCCCTAGACATGGGAAGTGGAACCACTACATTATATTTCCGTAAAAAGGATCTGATGGAACTGTTCAGCAACCTCGATATATTCGGAAAGTCATCAGAATAATCAAGTACCTATACTGACAACGAATAGCATGCATGCGCATAGAGAACGAGTTCAGTGAATACACAAATATAGAACGAGGCGTAAGGCAAGGACGCGTCTTCTCACCCGTCCTGTTCACCTGATAGAATTGGAAATCATACCGGGATTTAGCATTGGCGGCCACAATCTTAACAACATAAGATACGCAGACACTGAGATGCAATTACAAAATATCCTACAGTATTTAGCAACGGAAAATGAGAAGAAGGGTATTACAAGAAAACGGAGTGTATGGTCGTCAGTAAGAGGACGAGCCCGAAATTCGATCTGAAGGTTGGAAACATTAGAGTCAAGCAGACGCGGAAGTTTAAATACCTGGGAAGCGTCTTGAGAGAGGATGGTAAGTTCGACACTGATATTCGTAGATGTATTGGGATTGCCAAGGACACATTCTAAATGTTTGGCACGGTAATACGTGACAGGAGGATATCTTTGTTAACAAAAAAAAAAAAGAATAATGAACAGGTACGTGTCATCTGTCCTTCTTTTATGGCAGGGAATGTTGGACGACTTGCTCAAAGATGAAGAAGAGACTCGAGGCGACAGAGATGTGGTTGTTCAGAAGGATGCTAAGGATATCATGGAACGAGCGTGTGAGCGACGATGAGGTCTTAGAGAGGAGTCAGCTGAATTTTCTGGGACATATAATAAAGAAGGAGTGTCTAAAGAA